GAAAATAAGTTTTTCTGGACTCTTATGTTTTGAAATTCTGGTTTGTCTTTTGTTTTTTGAAAATGTTTCCCGCTTTTTATTACGAGATCTAAGTTCTTCTTTGAGGTCCAGTTTTGCCTGTGTTTTTGGAGAACCGCAGTCATGGGTATTTAACTGCGGTTTCCTGGAAACCTTGGGATTGTTTTTGAAAACGTGGACTTGAGTCATCGCAACTAGAAGATTCAGGACTCTGATATCATTGACCATATTCGAAATTTTCTATGGGCAACTCATGATGAATTGGCTGAATGGTCGCTGATCTCTTGACTACAGTCTGCGGTAAGGAAGATTGAACTACCGCAGAGTAAGTCAAAGTTGATTCTTTTGTGGGACACTTAATAGAAGGCATTTGCGAATTGGAACTACAGTGAGAGAGACTGCGGTTCGAAGGCAGGGATGGATAATTCACAAGAACTTCGGGACCCTCCATAAGAATTTCTTCATCAACAACAGATGAAGTCTGAGAGTTGGGATAAATTGTGTTAAGGATAGGTATTTGATCACTTGAGTGACTTGGAAATTTAGGAAGAATTTCCTCAATAACACAATTATTACTCAGATTATGATGTCGTCCGAAGTGAGCTCTGATGTCTTCGGGAAAGGTTTTGTCATTGACTGGGAAATGGAACTCTCGGTCCAGAGGCACATAGGGACGGTCTTTGTTAAATCGGGGTGATTAATCCTTTGCAGTGGAATACCCATTGGACCAACCCCAATTATACGTATTGTCAACAGTTCCATTGTTCACAAGATTTTCAAGGGCCTCGCTTTCATTAAACAAATTTTCAATTAATAAGTTCAAACGTACAATTTCCTTTTGTTCTAAATCTCTCTGATCTAATGTTATGCCTAATTGTGTTTCACATAACTTTTTTGCATCCTTCTCTAATCCTAAGTCTTTTTCTAGCATGGTAACTTTGAGTCTTTTGTCGTCTATTCGTCCTCGAACATGGAACATTTCCTGGGATGCTATGTTCTTTTCATTTTAGGGCTTTTAAATAGTCTGAAAGGACGGCATCACATGTGTCATTAAGATTGTCAAGGAATGGTTGACAATCATGCATGCTATAATTGAGAGTTTGAATCATAAATTTTACCTGTTCGACAATGCACAGAGTTCTGTCCTTGGCCATATAGCAATAGTTCTTTTTGAGCTTGGTCGATCCATCCTTGTCCGTAGTTGCTAGCATGCAAATTTTCCCTTTGCCCTTGATGTTGAAATCTTCATCCTCATCACCTGAAGACCACACTTGATGATCTCTCTTTACCTGGGCCACATATGCCCTTCCCTTTTCTTTTTCATCCATCTCCTGAGCCATTAGGAGATAAAAGGCTTTGTCCTTCACAACATTTGCTTTACAGTCCTTAGCAAAATGATTCTCTTTAATGCACTTATGACAAATGATGACATCTTCTTTAACTTCGGTTGAGGGACCGGAGTCAGTTGGTTTAATAGGTTCCAGTATTTCCTTGGCTTGATGAGGGTTTATCGGTTGCGGAGATTGGTGAGGGTTTTTGGGATATCGAGAGTGATTATTCTGAGTATTGAAGTTCCGGTTGAAGGGAGGTTTGGTAAATTGTTGATTTTTGCGAAAGGATGAGGGTGGTAGTTTGTTGAACCGTTGGCTAACACGAGCTATAGCCTTTTGGAACTCCTCTTCATCATCGTATTCTGAATCAGCTTCGTGTGACTGCGGTGGGTTGTCATACGAGGGAGAGTAAATTGCGGATTGGGTATGAGGAGCTTGAGCTATGAGATCGAGTGGGCCTCCGAAGTCTGCATAATCTTTGAGTATAGTGAATTCTTGTGCTTGAAGTTCACCATACAACTTGTAAAGAGATAAAGAGTGAATCTTCCTATCCCGTTGGACTATCATCTTAGCCATAGTACAGTGTCTACCCAAACCATTAAGAAACTAAAGGTTTGTCTCATGGTTACATCGGACAGTGCCAACATTTGATAATTTCGTGACAATCAGATTAAACCTTTTGAAGGAGTCTTCAAGAATTTCACCAACATGAGCTTTGAAGTTGTTGAACTCGTTGAGTGCGGTTGTGAGATTTTTATCTTGAGCTTGTTCTATACCTTCATACAAGTTCTTAAGAACATCCCAGATTTCTTTCGCTGACTTGCAATTGCTGATGATATCGAAGTTGTCAGGAGCAATTTCCGCAAGATATCTCATAAAAAGCAACAACATCATTTTCCATCTTATCAAGATCATCTTTAGTGTGACGATTCATGGCTGGTTGACCTCCTCCCAGTCTGGCTTGAGTGTCATAAGTTTGAACTGGAGTAAGAACATGTCCTTCTTCAACGGATCTCCACACATCTCGTCCAAGTCTTCTAAGATATCTCTCCATTCTTTGAGACCAGTGATGATATTCATTTGCCACCAATATTGGAGCTCTATTCGAACCTCCAACACTGTTGGAAACATTGAGTGATAATGCGTGTGCCATATTTCCTCATTTTGAGAAAGATTTTTTTTTAAAAAAATGAGCTTTAGTGGTGTAGAAGGCCTTTTAAAATCAGAGTTTTGTTCAAAAAACAACCACTTTGGCTCTGATACCAATTGTTGAGAGAAAAACTTTTGAGACACACTTGAACAAACGTTAGAACAAGTTGAATATGCGGAATAAGTTAATCTCAAAGGATCATAAAGCTCAACAATAATAAGTTAGAGTTAGAGTTAGATAATTAGATGCGGAAATATAAGGAAATATAAATGACAACAAGTATTATATCAAGTAAACACTTAAGCTGATTCGTAACAAGGATTGCAATCAAACCAAGTTAATAAATGTGATCAGCTTAACGTGATTAAGTCAAGAGTGACTTGCTCCGAAGAGAGATTATGATCTTTAAGTATAGCAGGATCTTGACAATAAGAGAGTAATGAGAGATAAGATAAGATGAGAGAAAGATGTGTATTCGAGATATGTTTTTGAACAGAACATGAGAACTCTATATATATAGAGTCTCGAAGATTACAATAAGACAAACTAAGTCTAAATCTGTCTAAGTGTCCATGCAAGGCACACTGGATAAAACAACATAAAGTAAAAGATAACAGATAAAGCTAAGTTAACGTTTGATGAAGATCTTGCAGATGCGGTCATAGAATGCGGATGAGAAGCTGAGTGCGGATCAGGTGTTGGATTCGGATTGGCTAAGTTTAAGAGGGTCACTTTCTTGCTTCAACACTACTTCACTTTGTTCTCTAGAGGACTTGAAAACCGTATATATTTCTTGAGGTTTTAGAGTAATGGAAACGACGAAGACTAGCTAACTTAAATTCCTCACATTTACACTGACAATTACGTGGCATTACTAGCGAGCCTTTAAATTTATTTGTAATTGTATTTCAAATTAATTGTGCAAACAAAACTTTAGTGACCAATCCATGAAAAAACCAAAACTTTGTTGTACTACAGTGTTATTTTCTATTTTTATTTAGGTTTTTGATCTATAATTTATCTACTTGAAACCAATATGTTTTGACTTTTATACCTTTTTTTCTAAATAATTAAGGTATAAAAATCAAACTACAAATAAAATGTTACTTCTAATTTTTTTTAAAAAAAAAGATCTCTTGTTCACTTTATATAAAAATTTAAGAAGAAGACAATATTTTTATTTAGGTTTTTGATCTATAATCTATCTACTTAAAACATAAAAACAATATGTTTTGACTTTTATATCTTTTAATTTAAATTTTTAAATAATTAAGGTATAAAAATCAAAATTACCAATAAAAATATTATTTCCCATTTTTAAAAGGTCTTTTGTTCAGTTTATATAAAAATTTAACATTTTAATTTGTTATTCACTTTATATATAATATTTATTCTTTTTTTAGTTGTATTTTGCGACTTATCCTCTGTCTATATTTCTAAAAACATTTTACCACGTATAAAACTTAAGAGAAATTAAATATATTTTTTTCCTTATCATTTTCCTACATATTTAAAATTATAACATTTGTTATATTTAATAAAATTAATAAATTTATATTACATTGGTCGTAAACTTAAATATATAAGAATGATGATTGGAGAAAAAAATAAAATATATTTCATTTATCAAAACTTAATTATAAAGTTTAATAAAGAGCTAGTTGTCCATAACTTTTTTTAATTCTTCTGATTAAAATAAAATCACGTTAAATCATATCTCGAAATACGTGGAGACAAATCCAGCCACCTCTTTCAGCCAATGGTTATCTATCTAGTCTCAAACGGTTATTAGTTTAATATTTAATTATCGTTTTTAAGTATTTTATGTCAACATGAAGTGAAATATTAACTAAACATCACATTTGGAACCACTTAAACGAACGAAGTTAGCCACCTTTTAAACCATCTTCAATTTGGCAGAAGTCAACAATACGTAAGGAAGATGCAACCTCCAACACACCAGTGACCACATTGTCGAATTTTTCTAGGTTTAATAAGGAATTATATGAGTATAAATGGTGTGGGTCCGAAGTAGTGAGGTAGTAGATAAAACAGATGTACAAAAGGGACTAGTTAGTTAGGCTATTTGTCCGCAAATCTAAAGCACAAGACTTTTTCGAGTTTGTTTTGCCAAAGTATTACGCGTGAACTCCCTATAAAAAGACCTTAGGAAATTGGAAAAAGAGAAAATGTTATTATAGCCCATTAATATTTGATTTTTAGTCCCACTAGGTTTTTATTGTATTTTTTTGTACAATAGGTCATTTAACTTCTATCTGATTTCTCTATAAAGCCATTATGTGCTATTTGAAATGATTAGCCGGTTTCCATAGATGACATGGATATATAAATGTATTAAAAAAAATTGTCAGGCATTTCATTAAATCCACGACCTCTTAAAAGACAGATACATCGTGTCATTACTCTCTTCTTCTTTATGATCCACAAAGCACATAAAAAAGCTAGGGTTTTTCGTGCACCATAGAAGCATCAAAGCATACATGTCGATTCCAAATCCTTATGGACTCTATTGCATAGTGGAGCTCAACTATAACAGTGTATTTGTTCGCAATCCCTTCTCTTATGCTAATGGCTTTATGTATACAATAGATGATAATCATTTATCTGGTCTCACATACTCCGAGTTTGTTACTTGGCTTCAGCGTTACATGCAAGAAGAGTTCACGGAAGTTTATTATTACGAGCCAACCGAAACATTAGTATAGGGGATTTTTCATATTGTTAATGATGTTGACTATGTAGCTTTCATATTAGATGCTTACAGAACAGATGGAAAAATTTATGTATATGTTAACCAAGTTGGTGTTGAAATAGTACAATGGTTTGGTGATGAACTCAATGAAGAAGATGGTCATGATTCTTCCATCATGGGTGGGGATATTGAGGATGAACTGGATAACTTGATGGATGTTGTTGTTGATTCTACAAGTGAAACTGTTATTATGAACAAAAACATCAAATGATGTCTTTTTGAGTAAACGATGTGCCACATATGAAGAAGATGATTTGCACACCACATTAAGTGATGAGGGTGAGAGTGACCCTTACGGTAAGGAACATGAATTCAAGAAACTCGAATATGTGTTTCACCACATAGTGGCAATCCAATGACCACATCGTGGGAATTGGGTTTCTACGATTCAATGGTTTTGAGTGGGATTCAGATTTTGGTGATTGAAAGGTATTTTTCTCTAATAATAAACCGGATATGGAGCCCTCTTTATATAGGTTGATGATTTGAAACCATAAAGATAATTACCAAATATAATAATAGTTATCTATGGAATTCAAATTATTCTGGAATTTTTCATATTCCTTAATTTTCTAATTAATTAATTAAACTATTAATTAATTACCAAAACAAGTCCCTCATATAAATATCTTTTCAATTATGCTTTATTTTGTTCTTGCATGTTACCCAAAAGGACACTGTTGTATATAATAATATTACCGGACTTGTTATGACTATGGGCACTAATCCCCATCAGCTCTCACTTGCACTTAGACGTCAACAATTAACTGGTCTAATACTTACTAGAGACAACAGTATGTGGCAGTCCAATGGAATTACTATACTTATAACAACTTGGCTATAAAGAACCCTACGACTGATATCTTTAAACTCCTTTAATCTTCTAGATATCTTATTATGTACAAGAGACATGGATCTAGGGTCAATCTAATGATTCAAGATTATGTTTCTCGATACTGACTTGTTGTGACTTCCAGACTTACTATCGAATATAATCAACTCAATCTCAGCTTGATCAAGCATTTGTTGTCAACACCAAATCAACGAGGGCCCCAGAGATATATAGTTCTCTATATCTGGCAGAAGGATCAAATAAACTTTGACTATGTAGCTCAGTACTATTTCTCATGCAACATCTGGTCAAACCCAATATGGCTGCCTGTTATGGACAACATTGGGGAAAAACCAAGACAAACAAATTGTAGAACACAACCTCATGTATCTGTATCTGACGAATAAGAAATTCAGTTGTCTTAATTTACTTATGACATAATCCATGAAGTAATCTTTTAGTGTGGTTACTCCAATACTTAAAATCTCTATTTTCAAGTACTCATTAATATTGATCGCGGGGCTTTGCAATGTTCATCCCTATAAACAATCTACAAATACTACATGACAATCTTAATTCACTACTATTTCCCAATAGTATGACTGATTGTGGATGTCTGAATAAAATATTATTCTGGAAGTAATTCTAAACATGCAAAAGTAGGAATACATATAATATGAATAAACATAGCTAATTATTAGTAATAATCATAAAATAAAAAATATATGAAGTGTCCCAAATGATCAAACTACAAATTGTGTAATCAAACCAATTCACTAGCAAATCTAATGTTAATAAAACTAGTATGAGCATCATGCTTAATTTGTGACGATGATTTGGTGAGTGGATCAGTTGGATTATCTTCTGACGGTACTCTGCATACGATGATGTGTCTATCTTCAAAAAGCTTCCTTATATAGTGGAATACTTTTTGTATATGTCTTGTATGCTTGTGATCTCGAGGTGCTTTAGCCAAGGCGACAACACCCTCGTTATTAAAGAAGATCTCAACCGGTTTGGCTATGTTAGGAACAACACCCAACTCATTGATGAACTTCTTGAGCCATACTGCTTCTATGGTTGCTTCATTGGCCGCAATATATTCTGATTTTGTAGTTGAGTTTGGTATAGTATCTTGCTTGGAAGTTCTCCGAGTCACTGCTCCTCTATTCAACATGAACACAAAACCATAATGTGATATGAAATTATCCATGTTAGTTGTGAAACTTGCATCCACCTATCCTTTGACGCTTAACTCTTCTTTACCACCATAGACCAAGAACATATCTTTAGTCCTCCTAATATACTTCAAAATGTTCTTGACTATGGTCCAATGACTTTCACCAGGATTGACTTGATAACGACTCGTCATACTAATTGTGTATGAGACGTCTCGCCTTTTACATATCATGACATACATGATTGATCCTATATCCGAAATATATAGGACTCGGCTCATTCTTTCCAGTTCTTTAGTAGTATTAGGACATTGGGTACTCAAAACCGTGCCACGTTGCATAGGTACAAATACCTTTTTAGATTCTTCCATCTTGAAATTCTTCAAGATTTTATCTAAGTATGTGTTATGGAAAAGTCCTATTAGTCCCCTAGATCTACCTCTATAAATCTTAATACCAAGTATGTAAGCAGCTTCTCCTAAGTCCTTAATAGCGAAACTCTTCCATGGCATGCTTTTAGACTATATAGTGTTGGATGTCGTCTCCTATTTGGAGAACGTCATTGACATATAAGACAAGGAAGACAACTACTCTCCCCCTAGATCTAACACACACACACATTATTCATCTTAATTTCTTAAGAAACCAAACTCCTTGATTATCTCATTGAAATACATGTTCCACATGCGAGGTGCTTGTTTTGAGTCCACAAATAGACTTTTTAAGCTTGCATACCATATTAGGAGACTTGGACTATACAAAACCTTCTGGTTGAGCCTTGTAAACATCCTCAATCAGTTTCCTATTGAGGAAATCAGTTTTTACACCCATTTGACATATTTCATAGTCATGAAATGCAGTTATGGCAAGTAGTATCCTAATAGACTTAATCATAGCAGCTGGTGAGAACTTTTACTCATAATCAATTCCTTGAGACTGAGTATAACCTTTCGCAACCAATCGAGCTTTATAAGTCAATACATTCCCAAACCATATTAGTCTTATTCTTGAAGAACCATATACACCCAATGGTTTTAAGGTCGGGTTCAAGATTAACCAAGTTCCATACTTGGTTATCGTACATGGAATGAATCTCGCTTTCCATCGTCTCTTTCCATTTGCAACCTCTAGGCTCGCCATGGATTTTTGATAGCTGAGCGAATCATTATTACCTAGCAGGTTGTCATCTTCTTGAGTAATATAGAATTCATAGAACTCTGGTGGATGACGTTCTATATCATATTTACGAGGTGGAGGTGGATGTATATTAGATTCCTCAATAGGCTGTTCAACCTCTTGTTGAGTTCTAGTGTCAATTTCAAGTTCTTTATTGGTTGAATCTTATATCTCTTCATGATCCATCGAGCTCCCACTATTTTATTAAGATATCAACTCTCTCTCACAAAAGACTTCCCTACAAGCAACAATGATCTTATTCTCAGTAGGCTTGTAGAAAAAGTATCCAAAAGAATCTTTGGGACAACTAACAAAAGTAACACCTTTTGGATATGGGTTTACGTTTTTCGACCGCTTCACGATGAACAAAAGTCTCACAACCTCAAACCTTAATTCGTGCAAGAGAAGGATGAGTCCCTTTCCAGATTTTGAATGGTGTCTTTTCAACCTTCTTAGTTGGTGCAAGGTTTTGAATGTAAGTGACAGTTTCTAGAGAATAACCCCATAAACTAATTGGAAGTGTAGCACAAGTCATAATAGAGCGAACCCTGTCTAGAAAGGTTCGATTTGTCCTCTCAGACACTCTATTGTGTTGTGGTGTTCTTGGTGGAGCTAGTTCTGAGAGTATCCCATAACTTCGAAGTTGATCGTAGAAGTCATCACTAAGATACTCTCTTCTCTATCAGAATGAAGTATCTTATTCTTTTGCATAGCTGGTTCTCTACTCCTCTCTTGTATTTCTTGAATACTTAAAATGTCTTAGACTTATGTTTAATTAGATAAATACACCCATATTAACTAAAATCATCAGTAAATGTGACAAATTATCTTTCACCATGTCTAGTGATGTGTCTGAATTGACCACATACATCTGAATCGATGACGTCCAAAAAATCTCTCCATCTCTCCAAGTTTCCTGTGAAAGGATACTTGTTCATTTTCCTAATTAAACAAGATTCGCAATTTCCATTGAACTCTAGTTTAAATGGTGCCAAGATCTAATATGACTGGAGCTTGGCGATTCTCTTCTTTTTTATATGGTCAACACGACAATGTCATAGACACAATTTATCCAAAGTAGATGAACCAAAGTTTAAGATTAAGTTATCATTTCTACTTACACCAGTTACAAATTCATATTTGTCATTGCAAGGTTTTGCTTTAAAAAGAAGAGTATTATCTTTGTAAACCAAAATACTAGCATTATGATTATCAAATCTAATAGTAAAACGGCCATGCCACATTTCATAAAATGAAAGGATGCTTCTTGCCATGTAAGGCGAATATCAACAATCTTGTAAAACAACTGAAAAAAATAGAAGGCAATGAAAGCTCGTAATTTCCAATCTTGGTAACAGCTACTTTGCTCTTGTTCCCCATGATCAAATCAAGCTCTCCATGCCTTAGCTTCCTACTTCGTCTTAGTCCTTGCACATCAGAACAAATGCAAGATCCATATCATGTTTCAAGTATCCAATTGTTAGAAGTAGAGGTTGAATGTAATTCAAATGTAAACATACCTAAAGTACTAACACCTTTGGCCTTGTTCTTCTTAAGATCCTCCATATACTTAGGGAAGCTACGTTTCTAATGGCTCTTTTCTTGGCAGTAGTAGCAAATGGCTTCTTTAGGGTCATTCACTGGTGGTATGTCAGAAACATCCTTCTTACGGTTGGAATTGGGAGTACCCACTTTCCCATTCTATTTTCCCTTAATATTGGGATGAGGGGGGCTCTTTCTATTGACACCACCTTCCTTAATAGTCAACACAATATTGGTTGAACTTGTGTTCCTAGGTGGAACAATTCTTTCCTCAGTAGTCTTGAGCATCTCATGTAGCTCCATGATACTCTTTTCCAAACCATTCATATAGTAGTTCATAGTGAACTGTTTGTATACACTAGTCAAAGACTTAAGAATAACATCAATAGCCAACTCTTGAGTGAATGGGAAGCCAAGAAGTTCAAGTATGTCAAAGTACCCTTTCAACTTTAGAACGTGGGTACTCACAGAACCACCCTCATG